CTTTTACGTCCAGTTAGTCTCAAAATGGTGCAACTGTTTTGTAGAATGCTCAAAATTGACTTGTATTAGCGCCATTAATTTCTGCGCTATTATTCATCTGTTTGTTGCAAATGTGAAAAATTGAATTATGCAAATGCTATTTTTGAATTATCAATTGAAATTATAAATGCTATCTTTAAATTATTAATTGAAATTAATTGAATTATTTAAATTATTGCTACTTTTGCATTTAAATAATTACACGTTTTATATATTTACAAATTTAAATAATTACATAATTATATATTTACAAAAGATTTAATGAAAATAAACAAACACACACCCACATATATATATATATATATCCGAATGGTTTGCAATATATTTTAACGTTTCAAAATTTAATAATTATAATAATGAAAATGTTTTCATAATGTTAATAGTAATAGTAAATTTGAATATTATCACAACCGTTTTTTATCACAACTTATTTTCACAACATTACAAATTTTCACAACGAACGTTATTATCACAACCATGAAGGAATTTCTATGAAATGAAATGTAATATGAAAAAATGAGGCATAAACTTCGACACTATCATTTTGCAACAATTTAAATTATTTCAAAATTTAAGCCATTTCATTTTCATCTAACCATCCTTCTTTTTATTTTACTGATAAATAAATTTTCACGAAAAACTAAATCATTGAGAAAAATGATTTCATCATTGTGCTAATTAATAATTAAAAATTATAATATCTATTAAAATAAATGAAAGAATGAAAAAATATATATATTTTTTCAGTTTCGGCAAAAATTCGTACTCTAAGTGAATTTCACAGTCGTATAGCATGCAATCAGCAACCACCAAGTGCTGCGGAAATATTAACAACATTGCGGTATTTTCATCAAACATTAATAGGGTTGGTTGAATTATTTATCCTTTAAATTTATTTTATAAAATTTTAATTACTAATTTTTTATCAATTTGAGTTCAATTTTTATTTGAGTGATAATTTATGATAATTTTGATGATTTAGCATTTTCCTTTTGCTATCACATTATCTTCCATAATTTCCCGTTCTTTCCATTATTGTTAGTTTTATGGAATATAATTAATTAATTAATTTCTTTTAATTCATCTATTTGGTATAATTGTACAGTATCATTATAAAATATTGTTAATTATAGAATATCCTACGTTTTTACTACCTTCACTTCTTTATAATTTATAATTGAAATTTTAGTGCTTCAATTTTTTTGCTAATTCTTTAAATTTTGTAATTGTTTTTGATTTGCTCGAATATATCGTAATTACTTCATTTTTTTTCTATTTTCACTAATTCCAATGATAGATTTTATTTCTTTATTTTTAGCAAACAAATTCATCAATTTCATTAACTAACGCTTGTTTACCATTATTTTAATTGCTAATTAGTAATTTCAAAATAGTTCCATTTCGTTTATATCTTTTATTTTAGTATGAAAATTGTGATTAAAATTTTATTCATTTCAATTTTATTTTATTTCAAATAAAACGAGAGAGAGAGAGAGAGAGAGAGAAGATAAAATAAAATGAAATAAAAAATAGGAAGATAAAATTAATGGTTAGTAAAGAGAGAAAGAATAAAAATTTAATTATACGAAATATTTTACATTTTACTGTTTTCATTTCTTTTGTGAAATTTCCATTTCTAAAACTTGATTTATGACGGGAAAAATAAATGAATGAAATTTGAACTGAAATTTGATGTAATTTAATTCCTATCTTATATCTTACCAGCTTATGCTATTTAATTTGTCTATGAAATGGACATTATTAAAAACAAAGTGATTTATTCTTATCATTTATCTATCATCTATTCTTTTTAGGCTTTATGATTTACTACTATTATCGGATAGTATTAGAACAATATAAAAGTACTAGTAATTTCTGTTAAATTTTTTATTTATTACAACAAAGCTTAAATATTTCGTTATTTAAATGGTATACTAAGAAATGGAAATAAAAAAGTTTAATTTAAAATTAAAACAAAAGTAAAATTTTATTACTATTTTAATGTATAAGAATTTTTAGGATATTTAAGGAAATTAAATTAAAAAGAAAATGAATAAATTACGTAGCGTTTCTTTATCATTCTTTTATAGTTTGAAATAGGCAATAATTGATAAATCATTTATGATAAAATTTTGAAGTGATAAATAGATATTAAAAGAATATATAAAATATGATTATTTATTTTAAAAAATGTTCGAATATAATAACAATAATAATAATAATAATAATTATTATTATTATTACTATTATTATTATTATTATTATCATTATTATTATTATTATTACTAATTATTATTATTATTGTAATTTTAAATTTTGTGAAACCTTTGAAAAATTCTTAATTTCAGAAAAAAGTTCTTAATTTAAGAATTTTTCAAATATCACATTGATCTGTTTATAATGTGTACATGTGTGTGTGTGTGTGTGTGTGTGCTTGTGTGTATGTGTGTATGTGCTTGTGTGTGTGTGTATGTGTGTGTGTGTGTGTGTACATATATCAAAATTTAAAAATCATATTTGATCTCAAAATTCAGTAAAACGAAATGGATAAATGATGTATGTTATGTTTGGTGGAATAATTTTTGATGAAATCTTTGTCAGCTGTCTCTTTCTTTTACAATTACTCTGTCAATATATTTTTGACAGATGGCAACTGTCAATAGCAAAATTTTTCGATAAATTTTCTTCATTGCAATTTTATGCAAAAATCTTTTAGTTAAAATATTAAATGATACCAATTAAACGATTGATTATATATTAGCTTATATAATTATGAAAAGATTGTAATAAAAGAAGAGAATTGGAAATAGTATGTTTATGGTATAATTGAAAATTGAAAAGAATAAAAATATAAGAATAGAAAAAAATAGAAAACAAAAAGATTAATTATAATTATTGCAGTAAAATGACAAAAAGGTTAATTATAATTACTGCAGTAAAATGACGAATAGTAATGAAAAAATTAATAATATTTGAATATAAAAATTTCTTTAATTAAAATTAAAAAAAATCATTTATATATTTAAGGAATACTTCCACAAAAATTTTGTTATTTTAAAACATATAAAATAATTGACCTTTTAATCAGTCCTTCTTATCTTTTTGACCTATTGCTTACTTATTCAAATTTACATAAATAAAACTTTATTCTCTAAAAATATAAAATAATTTTTGATAGAATAGAAACTAATGGAAGATATTGAAATATTGCTGAACAATTGCACTGCAATAAATTGTTGTTTATTTTAATTGCCTTATATGGAATTGTTTAAGGGATTATTTAAAATTTTATTTCAATGATAGTTCTATTCCATCCAGTTGGATATTTATCGTATAATTGAAAGTTGAAAGATTGAATAAAAGAATTTAATAGGAAATGGATAAGCTGTAATAGATATGATACACCTAAATGGATATGATGAATGAGGATATGTTGTACTTACCTTATCTCTTCATCTTTTCATTATTGCTATTCCTAAATATTTTTGAATTAAACAATTTAAAATGTCTCTTTCTTTTGAAAGAAGAAAAATTAGAAATGCGAAAATTAGTTTTTCAATTTCCTGCAAAAATGCTTAATTACAGATTTCTTAAAGAAATGCCACCGATACCGACAAGTGCCTTTGAGCGTTTCTGTCCAACATTAAATCGAATAACATTATATCCAAATTTGAATTATTCAGGACTTTATTATGGAATAATAAATTTGTTAGATGTTTTCCAACAAATTTCTGCTTCACATCTTGGTATACCTTTTTATTGTTTATAATACTTTTTACTATATGTAATGAAATAACTTCTTTACTATATGTAATAAAATAAAATTGAAATTTGAAAATTACTTCTCTGAAAATAATTCTTATAGAAAAAGAAAGAAAATATTTATTTGTAAAGGTCGAAATAAATTTCAGTGTTTTTTATTTCTCATATAAAAATTATAAAATATTTTAGCTATCGGTGATGCTATTCTTGATACAATCAAAGCGTTATATTTTTTCCTACAACGTGATGTTCTCGAGCAATTACCATATTTTCTAGCTGCTCAACTTGGTATTTTACCACCTGAACTTGATAAAAAACTTGTACATCTAATTAGCACCTGTTTCATTCCATTTATTCTGATACCGAAACAAGAATGCCTTTCAGTACCAGCTGTTCTTATGACGATACTTCAGCATTCTACCGATTTCAGTAAGATTTTTTTGTTTATACAATAACAATAATAATTATTATAACAACAATAATAATGATAATAATAATGTTCATCTATTTTTTTATCTTTGATAAACAAATCTGATAACTATGATAGAAATATTTACACCCACATATTATTATCATTATTATAATTATTATTGTTAGCATTATTATTATTACTATTACTATTATTTATTGTTATAATAATTATTATTGCTGCATTATTATTCATTATTACTATTACTATTTCTATAACAAAAATGTTTACCAAATAATTAATTCATTATGAAGTAACAAAATTTGTAGAAATAAAAGGATGGATAAATTTTATTTATAATTTCTTCAATCATATGATAATATGTTAACATCTTGCTTGCTATGGTTCATCTAATTTAATAATAAATAATTTCATTGTTATAAATATTGAATTGAATTATTATGCAAAACTTCCACTTTTGCTTATTTATAGGAAGAATTCCGGTAAGAATATGTTATTCAATTAGATTTCGATTTTTTATGAAAGATGAAGAAGAAGTTGAAATGATTTATTTCCCTAAGAAGGAAAAATATTAAAGCATTAAAATTCATAAAAAGTTTTATTATTATAATTAAATATTAATTATGCGATGTCACAATTATCATTATAATATCGCATAATTATCGAAAACTCTATAATATCTTAGTAAAATTAAAAAAAGAAATCAAAAATTACAAAACTTTGAGACGAATTTTTTTTAGGGTTAATTTAATTTTTGTAAATTAATTTCTCTTTGTTTTAATTTAATTATGAAATTAAAAATTTGCTGTAATATCATATTATGAAGAAGTATATGTATGAAAAATTTTGAATAAATTATATAAAATAAACGAAAAACGTTTTTTAATTTTCACTTAAAACAAAAGAATTCCTATGCAAAAATGTATTTCATTAATATTTATTTCTATTTTAAATAAATTTAAATGAAATACAAACTTAATGAATTGTTTTATTATTATTCAATTATTATTCAAATTCAGTTTTATTTTATTATTATTCATTTATTATTCAAATTATATTAAAAATTTGTTAACAATTAATTTGCATTTTTCATATTTGAAAAAATGAAAACGCAAAAAAAGATATGAAAGTAATTAAAATAGAAATTAATTAATGATAGTCTTATTTTCAATTCCTTACATCTCTATCTTTTAAAATATTTATAATTATAATAGTGGAAAATAATATTTTGCTATAATTATAATAGTTGAAAATATTTTGCTTTATAAAATTCACTTTAGAAAATTACGAATTACTAAGATTTTCTATTATTAATTAAGAATTAGGAATTTGCTTTTCCTATTTTTATAATCTAAAATTATGAGCACAAATAGGAAATATTTTTTAAAACACAATTCCTAATTTCTTGCTATAGCTTTCTTTGAAATATTTTTAATAAATTGAAATGATAATTTATTTACTACTGCTATTACTATAATTATTGTAATCGTTAATAGGCTAATTTATCAATGGAATGAAATGAATTCATTGGATACTAAAAGTTTACTGTATATTCAATTTTAATTACAAATATATCCATTACTAATTTCATCTTAACTTTTATCAAAAGAGAGAGAGAGAAAGAAGTAATTATTAATTATTGTTAAAAAATGTAAGCCAATTTTTTGAATTATTAAAATTTCAATCGTTCCTATTGAAAAAAACGAAACCGAATGAAAGAATTGAAAGAAGGAATTAAAATCAGAATTTAAAAAGAGAATTGAAAGAAGGAATTAAAATTAGAATTTAAAAAGAGAATTGAAAGAAGGAATTAAAATTAAAATTTAAAAAGAGAATTGAAAGAAGGAATTAAAATTAAAATTTAAACAAAGAATGAAAAAAAAAGCTGTCAAATAAATTATATTTCAAGAAGGAAATTAAATAGGAAATTAAATATAAATTAAAAACCAAAAAAATTAAAAAAAAAGGAAATTAAATATATTTGAAAATTTTTTCATATTATATTATTATTCCTCTGAGTTTATTGATAGTACAAAAAAAGTTCCCAAATTTTTTAATTAAATTAGCAATTAAATTTGAATGTCTTTTCTATCAAAAATACTTTAATAATGATATTAAATTTGTTTAAAATTTCATTTCTAATTCTATTTTCAGGTCTTCATACACTTTTTGTCGAAAATCTTTTGGCACAAAAAGAAAACGTTTATAAGGTAAAAATAAAATAACCATTTTTATCATTAATTTTTATCACTTCAATTTATCACTTACTCTATAAATTACTTACTTATTCAATATATGTTTTTAATTTGTGTTCCTTAATGGTAAGATATTGAAATAGTTGAAGAAGCTGTAATTTTAGTGCACAATTACTCTAATAGCTTTTAATCACATATATTACACTCGTAACTATTCTGTATAAGATTCATATTTCACCTGAAGAGGAGAAAATAAAATTTCCGGAAGTGAAATTTCCTGAAATAAAATTTCCTGAAAAAAAAATTATATTCAAAAAATTGATATAATTATTCAAGCATTACATTGTAAAAATAATATATTAACATAGCAATTAAAATACTGTAGAATTAAATTCATTGTGAAAAATTTGCTTTATAAAATACAATAAGATACTTAAAATTAATTAATTAATTAATTCAACAAATAAAATGTTCGATAAAAATTTGTACAAAATGAAATAATTTATTTTAAAGGATATGATATTGGTGTTATCGAAAGGTACAAGTGAGGCACGTATTGCTGCTGCAAATTTATTATTTCATTATTGGCCTATTTATAATAGGCATATATTACATCGTAAATCAATACAATATCGTATTCAGGGTAATTGAATTTTTTATGAAAATTTTGTTAAAAAAATTAATTAATTAATTAATGGATAAAATAAAAACGAAATTTTTTAATATTTACAAAAAATGGTTTAGGCAAATTATTGAAATTCTATTTGATTAAATCATTTCTATTAGTAATGATCATTTTTTTGAAATTTATATGAAATTTTATTTGACAGCTTGGACATGTGTACCGTGTCAGAATAGCAATTGTGTGGATAAAGAGCCAAGGTAAGCCTAATTGTTTCAATTGTTTCAATTTCTTTTGTTTTTTTTTACTGTGTGGATAAAGACCCAGGTAACTGTGTGAATAAAGAACCAAGGTAGTCCTAATAGTTTCAATTTCTTTTGTTTTTTTACTTTTCTATTATTTCTAAAATAAATTTTACTTATTATTATTCGTCATTCTTAATCTATCAAATATTTCAATATATCAAAAAATTTTACAAGTAATTTATTAATTAAAATTAATTTCATTCATTATACAAAAATCATTTATCGCTCGAAAAGAAAATTCATTAGCTAATTTAATTATTTCATTTTCAAATTTAACTGATATTAGAAAAAAAGAAATTGTTAAAATTACAAAAATATGAATTATAAATATGAAATTTTAAATTTTAAATAATTTAAATTATCATTAAAATTTTCGAATTAAAATTTTAAAATGAAAAATGACTTTTCAGTGTTCGATGCTGTTTTAATCCATTAATATCGATAAAATACGGTGAAACAGCTCCACCGATATCATTATGCAAAAAATGTGCGGAAATAGTTGAATGTGATGATAAGATAGCAACGATACCAATTTGTATGCCAATGTCTGCATCAAGTAATGTTGTTTGCCAAAATAAGGTAAATTTTACATATCTTAATTAATAATATTACAAATATCTCTTTTCATATTTTGTTTATTACAATTAAACATTTTAGTTAATTAATTATTATTACCACTTTTTGCTAATTAGTAAATTTTATAGAGTTATCACTTATATCACTCATATCACTTATATCACTTATATCACTCATATCATTTATATCATTCATATCATTTATATCACTCATATCACTTATAATACATCACTATTAAGGGTTGTGAATCATCAAAACGTTTTGCTGTAGGAATATGTTTTTCTGAAGATTGCATTCGATCACATCAATATGTTCCATTAAGACTTTGTCAGGTATTAATTATCTCATCTTAATAATTTCGAATTGATGAAATTTATACAACCTTTAGAAATTATAGATATGAAAAAAAAATTTTAATTACAAATGAATTGTTTAAATTTTAATTTAAATCATTACAATCTCAAATTTTTGAAAATTAAAATTAATTAATATATGTAAATTTTCATTGTGCTTTTGGTAATTCAGGAATGTTTTATCGCGTTACATAACGATAATACTAAGGAACATTTCAAACATTGTAGTATAGAATGTGGTTGGGGAACAGATATTGAACGTGATATTGTCGAAGCGATTGTTAAACTTTTGAAAGAAACTTCCGCTAATTTAGAAGGTTTGTTTTAAATTGTAATTAAAGCTTATTTTAACAAAATTTCCTGACAGTAAATTTTTTAAACTATTTCCTTTTTTTTTTTGAAATATTACACTTTCAATTATTTGGAAAATTTTCTAAATGATATCAAATGATATGTCGAATTTTGTTAAGTTTTTCTATTAAGTGTTAAATTTGATAAAGTTAAATTATACTAAAATTAGTTCATTACATTTTAGGATAATGTTTTCTGTAGCAGTAGTGTTATCCTTCAGAAAGTCACATGTTGAAAATTAGTGATTACATTTTAGGATAATTTTTTTTTAGCAGCAGTGTTATCTTTCAAAAGGTCGTATGTTGAAAATTAGGTCATTACATTTTAGGATGTTTTTTTAGCGGTAGTGTTATCCTTCAGAAACAGAAAGTAGTATGTTGAATAATTTCAGTTTGCTTTCTAAAATTTACGTCACAATCAATTAGCGAAATTATTCATCAATTAAAAGAAAGAAAAATTTATAAAAGTTAAACGAAATGTTTTAATGCAATGATGAGTAATATAAAACGATATAATATATTATAAAGTAAAATAGTGATGAAGTAAAGTAGTAAATATAAAGTGAAATGGTAAATAAATAAACAAAATCAATTTTGTTTATTTATTTATTTTTGTAAAGGATCGGATACTGAGAGTAAAAGACCAAAATGGTTACGACAATTAGAAGCTGGTCATACGCTTGGTCGTGAGATCGATAAAATGACCGATGAACGACGAACATTAAGCCGTTTTGGTATTTGGCTTCTTGCAATAATTTGTCCACCAATACCAGAAGCTAGACCAGTTTGTTTCCTTTATTTATTTATTTATTTATTAGCTATATAAGGTAATAAGCCTAAATATGATTAAATTAAATGATAAATATTCAAATTTTCATGAAACTTTATTGTCGTCGAAATTTTAAAATATGTAAAATAACGTTTATTTTAAAATTAAGAAAAAGAATTTCATTTATTAAATTAATTAATAAAAAAGTAATTTGTTAGTAAATGAGAAAAAAAATTATCGAATGAAGAATTTCTTTCGCTTTTTGCAGGAAGCGATCGCTTATATGATGTCAATGTTGTTGCAATGGTTTGCAACAACCGCTTTATTACCAAATGATTCAATTGGTGCTGCATTGGAGCAACTTAAAACTGATGTATATATTAGTTGGATAACTTTTTTTATCACTTATATCAATTCATTCTTATCATTTGAATTATTTAACATTTCATTCAATATATACATATATATATGTATATATTGTATATTTTATATACCTTGCCTTCACCTGAGCACTTGGAACAAACCATCGATTCCGTGAAGGTGATTTTTAAAATATTTTTTCAAATGAAATTAAAAATTAATGTTGATCATCCGATCTTTACTGCCCCATGGTATCTTTATT